TTAACTTTGGTTCGGTTTAACACTTGAGATAGAGATAATTAACTTTCAATGTTTAGTTAGATTATAATTATAATGTAATCTTTAAGTTAAATAATAGCAAAGGTAATTCTACTAATTAATTTATATTAATATATTATATTATAATAATGTAAGGATAGATAATCAGTGGCTAAGTGGCTATCAGTCTTACCAGTTTTCTTATATAGGCTCTACATATCAGTCTGTAGCTATTTATAAGTAATTTAATTATTATTCTTAGTAAAGTAGTGAGTAAGTAATTAGTAGTAGTCTTGTAGTTAGTTATTACTATCACAACCATGAATCACATGCATTCATATTATAATAATGTAAGAACTGATAATCAGTGGCTAAGTGGCTATCAGTTTTACCAGTTTTCTTATATAGGCTCTACATATCAGTCTGTAGCTATTTATAAGTAATTTAATTATTATTCTTAGTAAAATAGTGAGTAAGTAATTAGTAGTAGTCTAGTAGTTAGTTATTACTATCACAACCATGAATCACGTGCATTCACATCATCATATCTCTAAGGGTGCGTTTACTTCTGAGTTAGCAGTGCTAATTCTGATAACCGGATGTGACGTCATTAGCACGTGTATTCGTGCTTGCTTGTCCAATTCGAAAGTGAACACATACGCTAACAAGAAATATGACTGGAAACCGCCATATTTCTTGTTAGCGTATGTGTTCACTTTCGAATTGGACAAGCAAGCACGAATACACGTGCTAATGACGTCACATCCGGTTATCAGAATTAGCACTGCTAACTCAGAAGTAAACGCACCCTNCATTTTGCCTAGTCGTAAGCGTAAGAATAAAATTGGTCAGGTAAATTCTATATCTAAAAGAATAAGAACCGAGACCCCGTGATCTGTGAACTCCGACTTAAGCATCAGAGTAAGAATGGCTTTGTCAAGAGCTGAGGAAGAGCATTAAAACGTCAAGCTCCACTTGAAGCTCCTCTCAATTCTTCAATCTTTATTTTCTCATAAAAATATTCCGTCGTGCTCTGCGGGAGAATTTTCAGTATATTATAAATATAAAAATGAAGGAACAGACTAAAGATACACAGACTGAAAACTCCTTACGCCATATATGTTATTGATTTTAAAGTCACGTGATCAGTTTATACCAATCACAACGCACAGCTGTGCAAAACTCGATTACATGGCACCGCCATACAATTCTTATAGCGTCCTGTCTTCCTGACGTCACGAATGTTTGGGTTAAATTTATTCTTTTATATTTATATTATTCCTAATTACAGATATTTGTAATTAGAATATAAGAAATGAAGAAATAACGATTGTGCATATGAATATATTTATTTTAATACTGTATTAAAACAATTAGTAAAAAACAAAACAAAAAGATAAAAATAAACACGTAGTATAGAGTACGTATTAAAATATTTTAATGATGTTAATACATTTAATTATACATTAAGTTTAAATTAAACAATACTGACATTGTCAGATTGTAATCAATAGATTAACTAAATTATTTTTTCATCAGAAAATTTCCACAAATAATTGATTATTTGCCAGAAATGCTTAATTACAGTCTTGACATCTTTCTTTAGAGATTACATACACAATACATTTATTTCCCTTTATACTAAAGTATTTGTGTTCTTAATGTTAAGTATCTTTAATACACGTTATACTTAAAATTAATAATAAAAATAAGGAAAAGTCCGTTGTTTCATATCTACTAGTACATTTATTATATTAATACAAAGTAAATATAATAATTATTTTAAAATATGTAAATTATTTCGAAGAATCACTGCTCTAAAACCTCCCGACACGTAGAAGTCTGTTCACATGTATTACATTGAAAAAGTAATTGTTTGCGGTGTCTTTCTATACATCAAAATTTTAAATGCAATTTCAGTTGAGTTTCTGTTTTAAATCTGCTTTTACCATTTCTGCAAAAATACGCTTAATTCTGACGAACGAGTTAACGAAACAACTTTTAAAATATTAATAAAATACCTTGTTACACACTTCACAAACGTAATGAAGATTGTCTTCGTTGCGAGTGGCTTCGTGAAATATTTTAATACGTGTTTTTTGGTAAAACGTCAAATGAATTTTTTACAACGAAACGGTTTTTCGTCTTAATGAATTTTCTGGTGATTAATTAAAGTGCTTTTACTTTTAAATTCTTGATTACAAATATTACACTTTTCAATGTGAATTTTCGAATGTTCTTTTAGCGTGGTTTCAGTCTTGAATGGCTTGTTACAAACATAGCATACATACATATTCTCATGTTTAGTGAGACGATGTCTTTTTAAGGCAGCTGTATTGGTGTAATCTTTTTTACATATGTCACAAACATACTTTTTTGTATCGCTATGAATAATGTTATGCTGTTCCAAACAATGTTTTGTCTTAAAATATTTGTTACACATATGACAAGAATATTTGCACTTATTGCTGTACTTACGAATATGCTGTTTTAAACTAGAACTGCGTTTAAAAATTCTATTACATACTTGACAAGTATAATCAAATTGATTATTATGAACAATTTTATGATANAAATTGTCAACGCACGTCATTAAGTCCGACTCTACTGCAGATACACACGACCCCAGTTATCTCTCCATTGTTTCAACCTTCAATCACTAAAATTTAACAGAATCAATCCCTCTAATCAATAAGAATTTCAAAAATATTTCACACGGGATTTATTATGTGTCCCTTTTCATACAGTTTGTAGGAAGAGAAAAAGCTCTAGTTTTCTGTTTTTTGTTTCTTTCACACTGTTTATGGATGTTTATAATAAAAAAGAAACTGCGTCATTTTAACAATAATGTAGGAACTGAACATAATTTGCCAATATGTAGTTCTTATTTTAATTAACCAGTTACTTTCCCGGTTGTTATAACAGAAAGAAACTATGACGATGAGGCAAAAAATGAGTCCCAGATTTTTACACTTTAGGATTTAGAGCACTTTGAAATGCCGAAAAACGCAAAAACAATTCGGGGGTAATTTCTGTATGTATAGATGTTAGTGTGAGGAGGGAGGGGTTCGCACGATTTTGTTTATTCTATTTGAAGAATAATAACGCCTATGTTTTTTGTCTAAAATTTCTGAAATTTTGTAGGTAGATTTGTTTAGTAGGTGTACTGATGCTGTTAAATTTTGGTAGTTAAAAGTCGAGGGGATGAGAAGTTAATGGGAGTAGTATGTATCTCCGGCAGGATCGGCCTTAATGACGATTTTACAGGTTATTAGCATTTGTAATTTTTTATGATACTTATTCCCTCAAAATTTTTGTTTTTACCATTTTATAATATTCAAAACTATAAAAATTTATTATTAATTAAAATATAATAACAGATAATGCGAACAGAAATGTAAATGTTTCCGGGAAAGTCGCGAAACTCGTAGCTGATTTATTTTACTTTAACCTTTTGAATGGAGATAGAGTTAACATAATAAGTTAAATATAACATACCTCTTAATGTTTTCACAATTATCCTCTAAATCGACGATATTTCTTTTTTTCGAATTTTATCCTCTTTTTTTCCTGTATGTGCTTCTGAGGTTTAAAAATTTTTACGACTGTACTGACTCTCTTCTACACAGACAATTTCTTCGAAGGATAGTCAAGGGAACTGCCCTTTATGAGGGTAGCCTTTTTCTTACGCACATGACTCCTTAAATTACAACTGTCAAAACAAGACCGTTACTCTAGCAACACGTGACCGAAGTTGGACTGTTTACATTTTAAAAACATGATTAAATAGGCCTTCTATATACATTCATAGGTGCGTTTTAAAAACGATATGTTAACCATATAACACGTGATTTTATAGCTGCAAACTGTCACGTGTGCTGGACACGTGTCACCAGTGCCGGCCCGTGGCAAGTTTTAGAATGGAGCGAGATCCTATTATGTCGCCCCCCTTGGTTATCCCTAATTTATACCCTTTAATTTTCTTTACCACTGAGGCGCCCCCTAGGACTTAGCGCCTGGAGCGGCTGTTCTGTTCGCCCCCCTATGGTAGGGCCGGCTCTGGCTGTGCACCGCTTTCCTTGTATTTTTTAAACACCATTCCATTCTATTGAAAAATATGAATTATAACTACGGTGACCATATTTTTTTGGGGGAAATAAAGGACATATCGAAGAAAATTAAAAAAATCTTATAAAATTAATAAGTTTATAACATTTANAGGTAAATTATTGTACACAGTGTATTCATTAATTTTCATTTTCATGTAGTAAAGGCTCTATGCCTTCATAAAGGACGTACTTTTCCTTTGTTTAAGGGTAATTGGGCAGTTTATTCTCTGTTATATTCTCAAGTAAACAGTACATACAAGTACAGTACAGTATTTTCTGAGGAAACACTCGTACTTATTTTTTTTAACCCCATTCCCGATAACCCGGCATTTTCACAAACTCGGCCACCCTTCGGTCCACATTAGGCCGAGTTTTCGAGGTTCTACTGTACTAGTTTCTTTTCGTTTCATGAAGTTTTCTTTCTCACGCTTTAGTTGGATCTCCGATTCTTGTTCCAACGTGAAATTCAGGGAATATGGGTTATCTGGATCATTGTTTTCCACTTCCATAATATCCTCTGCCATTGCTGCTGGTTCCACTATATGTATTTACTCGATTCAGCATATTTTTCATCTCCTGGCACATTACATTTTTTTTCGGTATTGTGAAAGAATAATCAGGCTTTCTAACTTTTTGGTCATACTTCTTCGGGTTCTGTATGTAAATCAGCATCCCCGCGACCTCGATAAGACGCCATTCTCTGAGTCTTTTGTGGAGTGCCTCGGAAAGCTAGGCACTCAAGATTGTGTCCTGGCTTTTTAGTTTGTCTAAGATAAATTTCAGGGTTGTGTCAGCAGTTATCAAACTCGACTCTCTTCTGCAGAGAGCTTTTTACGGCCACTTTATAAGTTCGGTTTCGTGGACAAGTCGCGAGGCTGCAGCTCTCCATAGGCTTAAACAGATCGTTCCGTCATGTGATTCACTGACGTCACAACCGACCGTAAACTAGAATTATGCACCAGGACTAGGAGAGGAGTTACTTATTTTATTTAGCGCGAAGACACTTTATTTAGTGAGAGCGGAAAGTCAACTGGCAATTAGATCAGCAGAGGTAAAAGAGCAGGCAGTGTGGTTGGTGTAGAGAGGGGGTGTAGCACGTGCCGCACTGAACGGCAACGTCTCTCTCGCCGCCGTGCGATAGCGCACGTAGAAACGCGGCAACACTGACAACGTAGACTTTTGCGACACTATTTAGAAAGTTAATTGATTATTTGCGGATCCGCAGCGCTGGATCCAGCACCTGATGCTGGATCCAGCAGGCCGAAGAATGCGCTGGATCCAGCTGGATTGCTGGATGAGGGATCCAGCAATTGCAATCCCTAATCCCATGTAATTAGTATATTAGTATATCGCTATTAACCTACTTCGCGTTGAATTTTCATCGATGTTAAGCCTAACAAAAATTTTTTTAAAATAATAATCATCGCTATTGTATCGTTAAAAATTAAAAAATTAAGCTTCATTTAAATACTGGTTCCCTTTCATGGTCGATCCAGTGTTGCCAGCTAAAACACGTAAAAATAATATTAAAGTAGCCAAGACATAGCCAAATATTGTAGCGCCACATCAATAGCAGACATTTGAAATTTGCCAACTAGGACGATCGGTTAATTAACCGAGGTGACTGTTAATCGGGGGTCGGATAATCGAGGCTCTACTGTACCTTGTTACACACTTCACAAACGTAACGAAGATTGTCTTCGTTGCGAGTGGCTTCGTAAAATATTTTAATACATGTTTTTTGGTAAAACGTCGAATGAATTTTTCACAACGAAACGGTTTTTCGTCTTAATGAATTTTCTGGTGATTAATTAAGTTGCGTTTACATTTAAATTCTTGATTACAAATATTACACTTTTCAATGTGAATTTTCGAATGTTCTTTTAGCATGGTTTCAGTCTTGAATGGCTGCTTACAAACATAGCATACATACATATTCTCATGTTTAGTGAGACAATGTCTGGTTAAGGCAGTTGTATTGGTGTAATCTTTTTTACATATGTCACAAACATACTTCTTTGTATCGCTATGAATAATGTTATGCTGTTCCAATAAATGTTTTGTCTTAAAATATTTGTTACACATATGACAAGAATATTTGCACTTATTGCTGTACTTACGAATATGCTGTTTTAAACTAGAACTGCGTTTAAAAATTCTATTACATACTTGACAAGTATAATCAAATTGATTATTATGAACAATTTTATGATATGTTAAATAGTGTTTTGTTTTAAAACGTTTGTTACATATGTCACAAGAATATTTGTATTCGTTGCTGTGTATACGAATATGAAAATTTAAATAAATACTGCTTTTAAAACTTTTGTTACATATTTTACAAGTATGGTTAAATTGGTTATTATGAACTACTTTATGACGTGCCAAATACTGTTTTCTTTTAAATCGTTTGTTACATACCTGACAAACATAGTTACGTTCATCAGTATGAGTTTCGTAATGCGTTTTTAAATGATCTTTCCGTTTATAACTCTTATTGCAAATATCGCATTTGAAAGGACGGTCTTCACTATGCGTTGCTTCATGCTGCAACAACACAGCTTTCCTCTTAAATTCTTTTTCACATATTTTGCAGGCATGTACTTTGTGTATTCTTTTGTGTCTTTCTAAACGGCCCTTACCATATAGAACGCGCTTACCACAAATGTCGCAACACACATTTTTCCCCTTGATATTAGATTTTTTACTATGAATAAGTTTATGCTTTGGCAAATACTGTTTTGTTTTAAAATACTTGTTACATATGTCACAGAAATATTTGTATTCGTCGCTGTGTATATAAATATGCTGTTTTAAATGACAACTTCGTTTAAAACTTTTGTTACATATATGACAAGTATGGTTAAATTTATCATTATGAACTATTTTATGACCTATCAAAGTACCTATGGTTTTAAAACGTTTGTTACATACCTGACAAACATAGTTACGTTCATCAGTATGAGTTTTCTGATGCATTTTTAAATACTCTTTCCATTTAAAACTCTTATTGCAAATATCGCATTTGTAAGGACGGTCTTCACTATGCGTTGCTTCATGACGTAGAAAAATGCACTTCCACTTAAATTTTTTACCACATGTTTTGCAGGAATAAGTTCTGTGTGTTCTCTTGTGTATTTCTAAACGGCCCTTACCATATTGAACGCGCTTATTACAAATATCATTTTTCTGCTTAATATTAGCTTTTCTACCCTTTGTTGAAGATGGCTTCACTCGATCTTCAGATGGCCGCGTACATAAATCCCGATAAGAGATTTTGTTTTGATTTCCAGTTTTATGTTTTTTCATGTGTCTTTGCAAAAGAAAACGCCACAAAAACTTCTTATTGCAAATTGTGCAGAAAAATGGTTTTTTTCCAATATGACAAAACAGATGTGTTTGTAATATGCTCTTATTTGTGAAAGTCTGTTTACATAAATCACACGTAAATTCT